TGTTCTGTCCATTTCTTTGTGCGGTCGAATCCATTTGTAAACATTTATTGAGAGGATTGTTAATATCCGTTGTTATTCAAGATGATTTAAGGTCTCCCTTTGAATAAGATAACTTTTATTGTAACCGTGTAAACAGTGTAACACAGGAAGGGGCCATTATATCCCTTGTAACAGTGTGTTTAATGCTTCTGGTGGATTCAACTCAATAACCTTCACTGAGCAGTGTTAACAATGAGATCAGGCTTTTGTTTTACAGGTGTGTAGTGTGTATGTGTATCTGTGTGTGTCCTGTGTTTTTTTTATAGCAGAGTGCAGGTCAGGGCCTGTTTTACTGGGCTCCAGAACAACAGCTCCAGGTTTTATTGGCCAGTCCTGAGATTGGATCCTAGATGGAAAAGTGTGTGTGTGGTTCTGTGACTAACACGTGTGTTTCCATAAGCATATCAGTAGTGATTCGTGTGTGTGTGTGTGTGTGTGTGTGTGTGTGTGTGTGTGTGTGTGTGTGTGTGTGTGCGTGTGCGTGTGCGTGTGCTCTCCGTACCTAATTTAAAGAACTATAGCCATGAGCAACACGCCTCTTTTTTCACTGTTGGCTAAAGTGTCTCCTTGGCAACTCACCATCACCCCTCTCTCACATACACACAGACACACACACAGACACACAACCCTAACCCTACCTTCTCTGTACCACCGCCGCTGCCGCCGCCCCCAGCGGTTTTGATGGAGGGGGCACTTTCTTGTAACCGTGGCAACCTTTCAGCCAGTCTACTGCAAACCTGCCTACTGCGGAGCACATTGTTGTCCAGTTGATAGGTAAGTGTTAAGACCGTGCTGAGACACTGTAGGAGGGTTTATGTGTGGGTGTGTGTAAGAGTGTGTATGTCTTTACTGAGAAGATGCCAGCTTTATAATAAATGAGACAATTTCCAGTTTAATAGTTTGGTGTTAACTACCCCGTAGATTGGATATTGTAATAAGGTAAGACGGGGTGGCAGGGATTAGCGGTGTGTGTTTGTGTGTGCTGAGAGGCATATTAGATTTAACTACACACAGAGTCTGTATAGCAAAGCCTGTAATTTGGGCATTTTTGAGTTCATTTATTCTTGTGTTCATTGGATGAAATAATTAGAGTGTTGTGTGCAGACAACTTTTATCCGGAATTGATAGTTTTGTGCCGGCTGTAAGAAAACACACATTTTTAGAGTCGGACTGCAATTATTCCTTTTCAATTATTCACACAGAGTATCATTATTGTTAATGTGTTGACATGAATATGAAACCGAGTCGTATCCGTGTGCCTCAGTCGCAGGTTTGCAGGTGTGTCGCACTCGCTTTTAAGGTTGACACTTTCTAAGGTACAAAGCAGCGTCATGGAGCGGTGTTAGTCCTAGCTGGGCCTGTCAGCACAGCAGGACCCCGAGGCTACGTTCCAGGCAAAGACTTCACTGCTGTCTGCTCAATGCAGACGCGACAGCAGTCAGCCTCTACTGAAGTCCCAGCATATACGTATCACAGTGAGGTGCGTGCGGGGGTAGGCGGTACCTGTGTGCAGGTGGATATAGGCATGTGTACGTCGTCGTACAGTACAGAGGCAGGTGTGGGCTTTTTGGCGGACATTAGTGTGTTTAGTGTGGGATGTATGCACCAGTTTAAGGTGGCAGATGGCTTGTTCTTTGTTTGCAGCAACAATTTTTAACAGTTATGTTCTTAGATTTCCTAGAAGTCACTTGTTGAATAACCTTCAGTTTTTTTAATATAATTTTTCTCCATCAGAAACTCTGTAAATTATGGTCATGAGTCTTAATTGTGTCAACTTTGGTTTGTGGGAAGTTTGTTTGTGTTTGTTGGGCCAAGTGTCGCCGATATACTATGAAAACTACGACCCATGAGCCTCACGTTCACACATACAGACTCAAACTCTTGTTGTCTTCTCCAATCAGCTGTGTAAAGGAACTTCAAATAAAATGGAGGGAAACAACTTCCCAGTTCTCTACAGGTTGCTCCAAGTGCCACCACCTAACATTAGATTGGGTTTACACCTTTTTTCATTTTCAATCTGCACATGAAAAAAAAATGGCAAAATGTTTTTACACTTGGCTGCTGTGGAACAAAGTGCAATGGAAACAGACAGTGAATTGTGACATACATGAAGCATGTGACTTAAACGTCTACTGAAGAGACGAAAGATGGCAGCAGACGAAAACAGATCTGTGCTCAAGTGATGACGACTTATTCAAATGAATACAAGAAACAAAACAGAAATGTCACATTTCCAACAGGTTTGACTGGTGCTCTTTTAATTACTTCATCTCAGTGCGCCGTCTTCTTCTGCAGTGCTTTAATGGCACCTAAGTGGATAATTAGTGCCACCAGCTGTTTATCTCGACAAACCACTCCTAATATTCACATAATGGTTGTGGATGGAAAAAACTTTGGCAGATTTTCTGGAAATTGAGTTAAAGTTTTTTGCTGCATTTGGATGGAAACCCACTTTGTGTCTTTGTAGAAAAATGCATCTTCCAAAACCCCGACGCCCCAAAATAACTCTGCCCACTTCGCTACTCGCTAATAGAGTGTGACAAAAAGTAGCAAAACAGAAAGTGAGAACGTGACACAAGTGCTTGATCTCGGATGGAGGAGTGTTACAGCTGTGAAGGGCATTTGCCCGTCGTCCTGGGCTGTTTGGCTGGTAGGCTGTTTGTCAAATATGTGCACCAGCTTGAATCAGTGGCAATCAGGCAGACATGATGCGAACGGATCCGTGAGAGCATCTGCTGGCACAGCGGGCAGCGATATGTGATAAACGCTGATTTCACCCTCCATTGGATCGAGCTGGCGATGATAGCCACCTCTCCCCCGCTCATCCATCCTATTAAACCCTCATTATTCATTTACCTCCAGCCTCAACCGCCTGACATGCATGGAATGAGTGCACTCACAGCCCCGCACACACAAACACACACTCTTTCAAAAGTGAATTGTGCTCATATTTCTTCTGCTATTTCATCTCAGGCGGTCAAGGACACACACTATCTCAAACAGGCAGTATCATGACTCTAAGTTTTTTCTTTTCTTTTTTTTTTTTTGCATGGAAGAGAATTCTCACATTTTGTAGTAAACACACACATGCCCACGCACTCAGACACACACAGTCTCTCTGTGTATAGTGCAGCACTGCGCTGGCAAGGAGCTTAATTCTATCAGGCTGCGAGCTGGACAGCCGTAATTACATTTGTGACACAAATCCTGCCTCTCAAATTGAGCGTTTTATTCCTGAGCGCCCCCCCCCTCCTCTCTATTTATAACCCCTTATTCCCCATAAATCCCACTTCCTCTCAGAAAGTCAATTTAGGACTTAAAAGGCAGCAACGCTCCGCTTACTTTTCCCCCTCCTTTGACTCTATCACCGCTTCAGTTTCACTTCCCCTTTTCCCCGCTCTACTTTGGAGCTTTGAAGCCTCCGAAATGACAAAAAATACGTCTTAAGCAGTGAGTGCCATGATGCGAGGAAAGTCATCCCTATAGGAAAGTTTCAGGAAGAAAAAAAACAAAAAAAACAAAAACGCATCTAGCAACCTGTCTGTAACTTCTTTGAGTGCTTGTCTCTGTTCCATTGTGATAAACAAGTAGGAGAGGCTGGTGTGTAGGCCTTCCTGGTCACCTGTCTTTCAGTTTCTCCTGCAGCCTGTGCGGTGGGTTCCACTCTGGCAGCGGTGGGGTCTGCATGACATTTTTTTTTTCCATTTTTCTTACAGCTCTGCATTTCCTCGAACCTTCCCAGCCTTCTCTCGACTTTTTTTTTTCCCGGCGCCCTCCTCCCCTGCTCTCCGCTCCCCTGCTGAATCAGCTGTGGCCTTCATCACTTTCCCGCTCCTCCGTCTCCCCTTTCTTCCTCTCTCGAGTTGGAGGCCATACCTGAGTACAGTATGATGGCAGTTCATTTATTCCCCCTCTCTCTTGCTTATGCATGAGCCTGTCACTTCCCATAGTGCTGCTCCTCACCTGTCCCTGTACCACTCCACCTCGTTCATCGTTTCTTTTCCCCTCCTTTATGTTCCTCCTATAAGTCTCAGACTTTCTCCCCATTTCTGTCAAGCCTGTTTTTCACCCCCTCCCTTCAGCCCCCCTCTACCTCTCTCTCTTCATTTCACCTTCATAGCTTCATATTTCTGAGTTTTAACCTTTTTGAGCTTTATTCCAAAAAAAAGCTCTTTAAGCCAAAATCAGTTGATTGTTAAAAGTTTAAAAAGCTGACTGAATCTACATGTAAGCCTTCAAAAATTCCACGCCTGAAAATATTAAGAGATTAAAATATAATTATATATTTATATTTCTTTTTCATAAATTGAAAAATATATTAATTGATTCCAAGAAAACATTGAAAAAGTCTATAATTCTGATGACACAGGCCAGACTTAAAGATTTATCCTCTTCCTGAATTAGTTTCTTCAACCGTTAATTCATGACATGTGATCCGTCTGATCGCAGCTGCATCATGTTGGGTTAATGCCACCAGTAGAAGCGATGGACAACTTGACAACGATTCAAGCCGAGTCTGCAACAAATGGATAGACTGAAGTATAGACTTCAGACTTCAGGGCACCCTCTCAGAACTCATCAGACATTTGTTGTCCCTGCTCTTACATAAACTGATCTTAACCTAAATTCAATTTCCAGCAGCATTAAGATTTTAAGAAGTTTAATACAGATGCCCTTTAAACAAGGAAATATTACTGTACTATATGAGATGAGAGTCATATTTGTTTTGTAAGCTAAAAGCTTCTGATCTCAATATCAAGAGTCACTTAAACATTTAACATCATTCTGTCTCATTTCATCAGTGCATGTCTCATTTTGGAGCAAAAATTCCCTCCTCCTCCATCACTCACACTTTTTTAATTTTCCCTACCCTCCCTTCTCCCTCTCATCCTCTGTTAAACTTCCGTCCACCTCCTCGCTAACGGGCCCTCCCACCCTCTCTTGTCTCCTTTGTCTCTCAGAGCCTTCAGCTGGTGGAGCGCTCGGCCCGACCCTGGGCCTCTGGAAGTCCAGCTCCCTGGAGAGCCTCCAGACGGCCGTGTCGGAGGCCAAGCAGAGTCACAGCCAAGCCCAGGTGCCCTTTCATCGCCCGCGGCCGCACATGGTCCGGGGGCGGGGATGCAACCAGAGCTTCCGCATCGCCATCGACAAGTCTTACGATGGGCCCTCTGAAGATGGTAAGACTTTTCATCAGCGTTTTCAAAACAGAAATAGTGGGTTCAGGCACTGGCACCGTTGCTATAATATAGCATTCTTCCCTAGACATTGTATCCATTTTAAATGAGAGACTACATTGCCAATACACATCCCTTAGGCTTTATAACACACTGGCACTCAAGAAGAGCCAGAGGCCTGCCAAGGGACAGTGCTTAGCCTAAGTACCTTAATGAAATGCTACATGATTTTATCCACTCAGCATTTTACGAAGAGCAACTTTATATCTTACAGCAGCATATTTTAATGCTCTACCTTGTGAACCCACAGATGTGGGATGTTGTATGTGTGTGTGTGTGTGTGTGTGTGTGTGATTACTGAGGAAATTACAATCCTCCATGTTAGCTGAAATCATTATGAGTTAATTCTGAATGTTTGCTAATGATGTTAGGGAAAATCTGGAGTGTGAAAAATTAGCCGTCTACTGTTGTATTAACATTATTTTTAGTCTTTAGCAGCGCACCCAAACATTAAACCAGAAATAAGAGAATTTTCAGCTGCTGTTTGACCCAGTTTTGTTGTGTTTTGGGTCTTTTCATGTTGGTGAAAATTCACCATAGGCAAATGGACATGAAATACTAAATAAAACGCATACAGCTGCATTTACGAGTACATATTCCAGCTGTGCATCCACTGCAACCTCTGCCCTCGCCCCTCTCTGCGTCTAACCATGCAAACCGTTTACCCTCCTCAGACGACGACCTGTCAGAGCAGAGCTCCGGTCACGAAACACCCGCCAGCAGCTCCTCTCGCCAGGGCCTGGACGCAGACGACGGAAAGAAGAAGAAGAAACCCAAAGACAGAAAGAAAGACAAGAAGATCAAAGGGAAGAAGAAAACAGATGATTCTGTGGAGGATCTGGATAAGAAGACCAAAAAGAAAGGATTTGGCCTCCTGAGGTAGGAGACCTGAATGTTATTTAAAAGCCCAGTCTATTACAAATTTTTCTTTTTACCTTTTTTTGAACTTTCAGGCACTGAAGTGACTCTTTGTGATTGGTTAGTCAATGATAAATTAAGCAAAGCAGTTCCAGAGGCTGCCAGGCCAGTACCTTGATTCACTAAATTGAAAAGGTCACCTGCTTAACAAGAAGTGTGAGCTAAAAATGAGCAGGTAATGAGGCTTGTATTTCATCACTACCCCGAAAACCCCAAGGTCTTATCCTAAAGCATCAACAAGACGGTAATTACTTCTACCTCTTCTGGCCAAACTGCACCGACTTTCAGGGAAATTAGTACTTGCTATTTACATTTCTTACTTGGTGTGGCACAGATCTTTCAGGCTCAGGCTGGGTCAGGCGGTTTTAAATGACACCTACAACCATGTAAGCATTTTTGTAGCTGTGAAAGAAACGAAATATCAGATGCGTCCCTTGTGTAAACAGTCAAAGATAGGTTTTATGTAGGAAACAATGGAAAAGAGCAAGAGCCTGCCCTACTTTCCCCTGGTTTAGTTTCAACAAATTACCCACTGAGCACAGCTGGATTAAGGGATATTGGGTTTATTGGATATGAACACAACCTTATCGGTAATGGAGGGTATCTGTTATCTCTCAATCCGAGCAAAGTCCCAGCGACACAGTACCAACCCAAACCGCTTGTCACCGCTTTTATCAACGTGTCCCCATCGTGATTGTGGTGGTCCAATCCTCCAACTGCAATCCTTATCTATTGGCAGTGACACGGTGTGGTCAGTGTATCACCGCACTTCCAACACTTGAGATTCAATTAGGCTGCGGTGAGAGATAGCGCAGGCTGAGCGTCGGCCTACAGATGGCAGATAAGAATCCAATCGGCCACGATGTCAAGGGCAGTAATGGAAGAGATGTTCACACGGTGAGGCCGGGAGTGGAGAGTAGGGCAGGCACGGGGAAGGGCAAGATGAAGGACACGGACAGAGAAGCAGAGTTACATACAAGAGCGCGTGTCAGAGAGGTTGCAGCTGACTGTAAACCTACAAAAAATCCAGTCGACCTAGCGTTTCATTTCCCTGATAAAAATGTACTCACCTTTGTCCTCTTGTGTCTTAAATAGTTCCATCCATTATGCACATGAGGCTTTTCCTGCTTCTCTGCTGCAGAAAACAGGCAGATATGTAGAAGCTGACACCGCTAGCTGTGTGACAGATTGTGTTTGTATGAATTTTGGATGGAAATCTCAGCATCTATACTCCACAAGCAATACAGTGCCTTTTCCTTTTTCTCTTGTTTTTATGCTGGTGGTGGGATTTTTTTGTTTCTCTCAAACCATTTTCTTCATTAGAGCTCCCCTGGAAAGGTCAGCCCTAATAAAGCCTCAGACTTTTTATTTGTGTGCATCGTTGTACACACATCACAGGGCCACGAAATTTCAAGATGTGGCCTTGTTTCAGAATGACCTAATTTAACAGCAGACCTAATGAATATGGTGAAAGGTGGAGGAGGAAGAGCAGCCTGTTTCTTCACACTTTTGTCTGCTTTCAGCTCTGGTGCTGTTTACTACTCCTTTGACCAGCCCAAAAACTCAGGCACAGCTTACTGCCATCCAGTGCACTAATCAACACTCTGCTCTCTGGAGCTGTATAGGAGACATGCCCCACACTGCCTCAGGCTTCTGTGATTATGATGTACACTATTTATTTCTTTGGCTGTGAGGAAATCTGTAGTTTTTCCACTACAGTTGACGATCATGTTCGATGCCAGGAAAGGCAATTAAGCGCGACGTGAGACTTCATATGTGGGAGTTTAGTATGTGGCAGCTGGACTGGACTCAGGCCATGAATAATGAATGAATAATTTAGCATTGGAGGAGTATTGATTAAAATACATCAGTGAGAACGTTGAGTATTTATATAACTAAAAGAGGCCATTAACTATATAAAATAAAGAAGACCCCACCCACTCTAGAAAATCCCATTACCCCTATTAGCTCCTTGATACAGATGTTGCTGGCACACCTGTGCATGTTGTTGCACACCTTCTCTCTTATTCTTTTTTTGAATTGGCCACTTTAGTCTGAAACACTCAAAACCCAGCCCGCCTGTTGATCCAAGCACAGACGCTGAGTGCTTTTCTAAATCAACAATAGAAGTGAGCATTGTAAAAAGCCTCCAGATTGTTGCACCACACCAGCCTCTCTCTCTTTCTCTCTCTCCCTCTCTCTCTCTCTCCCTCTTTCTCTCTCTCTCTCTCTCTCCCTGGCCTTTATCTGGCCGACTTGATCGTTATTGAACTTGAAATATGACTTAATTAGCTGGAGTATTGCACGGTTCAATCTAATTGCAGCTCTCAAATGTTATTTTACTCCAATAGCAGCATTAGGAAAAGGGCAAATTATAAACATATGACCTCAATTTACCTCTGCAATGGAAGTGTGCGCAACAGCAGCTTGCACAACAAACGCTGGAAGTGGGCCCTGTCCTTTCAGAGGCCATAAATGTTTAGTTCATCTGCGCCAGTATTTGAGGAGCGAGTTGTTTTTGGCGGCAGCTCGTCGCAAACAGCTGGGTGTAAGGTGACCTCTGGAAATCACATATTTGTTTTTCGCTAAATCCATATGTGATTCTTTTCATCTGTCTCAGTGCAACTCTCACATCATTACACCTGCAGGCCTAATGAAAGTGCTTCAGTTTAAAAGATTAGCTCAAACTTGATACTGTGTGTAGCAGTAGTATGAAACTCAGAGGGGAGGCTGTATGCTCTAATAACACACACTGTTACTGCTGTATTTATCCAGCTGTCCTTACAAATTGAAAACCATGGTGCTGTGGTATATAGTTACAATCCTGCTCATAATTCAATTGCAATTGCATGACAACTGGGCAAACTATACCTGCTGATGAAGATCATGTGATAAGAGTGAAAGCACCAGAGCAGCTACAAAATGGACCTTGTGGTGAGATTATTTTTTTTCTTTCAATTTTGATATTAACATCAGCCACATTGTCCAGCCTTACCTGGACGGGCGCCAAGGTTTTGACGAATGGCGGCATGTGAAAATAAGATAAACCATCAAATTATACATAGTGTTACTTATTGGCCAAAAAGGTGCTGCGTGGTAAGATTAAAGATGCAGTTTTGAGCCTGTGCTGTTCTCTGTGCACATGTTCCTGTTTCCCTGAAGTGGGCCCTGCCTCAGATGGGGCTTCTCCTCTTTTCCATCACCAGCCCCTTGAAAAGGGCTGTTCGCATCTCGTCTCCCTGATTGCTAAATAAGCCAAGACAAATGGCAGTGCCCTTCAGACCTTCCTCAGTAGAGGGTGACTGCTTGTCTTGTCTGTATTCAGCCGACAGCGGTGGAGTCTTCGCCTGGAACGTAGCCTCGGGGGCCGCGCCGCTGACAGACCGCAGAAAGACTAACAGTGGAACTCTGCTGTTTTCTCTCAGCATCCGTGCACTCCTGTCAAACAAAGACAATAACCTGGTCAGAGGTTTCAGATGTCTTTATCAAACAAGGGTATTCACATTACTCTTTTTGATTTGAATAAAACTCTTGTCAACAATGTAATTTCATTTAGGAAGCAAAGGCTCGAGTTTCCTCTGAACTGTACCACAAAGTGATATTTTTAAGTTCGTCAGCCTGGGGGAAGTTGATCGTGGCTTTAACTCTAGAGCTCATCCCCTGTCTTATTTTTGTGTGAGGATTAGACATATTAAGGTCTGATCCAGCATGGCTTAATCAGGAGGTCAGGGTTTGAAAGATATAGCTCGTGACTAACATCCTTCTGGTTGTGTCATCAAGCGAGTCTCGCTCCCAAGTGACATCCGACGTTTTGGCTGAACGATGAAGCCATGTGTATTTTTATTCTGTCCATTCTCCTCACCGCAGCGCGTGACTCCGTCTGCTTGAGTGTGTGCCACTAATCACTGGGTGTATCATTCCTCAACTGGCCCTACTGGCCCTGGTGGCCACTGTGACACATCCCGTCTGTCCCCACGTCCCCGTCAGTCACTCAGTCACTCAGTCAGGATCAATGTTTAGCCGTTGCTATCAGCTCGCGTCCCACCATGACAGCGCGCAAACACCCCTCCACCAATTTAAAGGGACATGAAAGCCGGCGTTTTGATCCGCTGTTTACAAATCCACATACAACATGATATACTCCCCCCCCCCACTTCTATGTTTGCAGCGCCAAAGAAATCCGACAGGGAAGCAAGCCAATTAGCGCCGTCCGTTCCGCTCTTATCCTATCGCAGAGCAGCAGGATGCGCAGGGTTGAAAGGTAGTCACTGGTGGGCTGTACTCTGCACAACCAAAGCCTTGTTGTCAAAGTGGAGGGGCCCGCTGCAAGATGATTTCAGATGGATTACTGCTGTTATTGTGCACTCCACCTCCTCATTCCCTTTCCTGAGCCCTTGCTCCCTTCTTTTTTTTTTTTTAGTTTCATGATAAGCCCTCTCTCTCCTCACTGTTCTGAAACGTATTTGTTTCCTTTCTTCCCTCCCTCTATCGTGCCCTTTTTCTCATCCTGTTTCACCTCCTTCTTCTGTCTCTTCACTCAGCCCTCTGTACTTAACTGTTTCTTTCCTAGTTCATCTCTCTGTCCTTAAATGAACTGTTGATTTAACCAGGCTACATTAGACACAATGAGCTTACAGGTCCCACTTGAATTCACACAAGTTCATGATTTCCTACAATTAAGTGTGCTAATATGAGCTCTGTGGCCTCCTGCTAATTAAACAAGCAGAGGACATGTTGCTCCGTGGATTTTGTCTGTGTGAAGTTTCTGTTGTCGCTGCTCTTTTCTCCGCCTGTTCCTGCACGACGGCTATCGGCTGCTTGTAATACAGTAACAGTAACAACCCAGTTCTTGTCCTCTTTATTCCAAACAAACTAGAAAAGTGAAACCTGTCATTTCCTGTGCGTTTCCCGGGGAACACTTGGCAATGGATGTTTAGTGTGGCAAATATAATAGCTTTTAT